TGTTGGCAACAAAACTTTAGTGAAGACGCGGCTTAAAACTGACTTCGATTATTATAACTTTTGATCCGTTTGTAATTATAATAATAAGATAACAGACACGACACAATACATCTATTATTTGCTTTATCTGTCTATTGAATCACACGACTCGCTGAACCCTCTCAAGTGAGGCTTAGAGATAGACAAAATTACGTGTAAACACAACTACAAATTGATCTATTTGGCAATTCACCTTGAACCAGTAAGCAAATAAAGGGCGTGTTTGTAATAAAAAGCCAGATAAGCCGAGTCATACTGAAATAGCGTTACAGATGGAATGTCCATAGTATACTGCATTTAGAAAATAAGGATGTTTACACATTTTAAAGCATATTTTTTCTCCCCTTTTGTCTTTTTTAACATTTTTGACTAATTTTGTTGGTATATACATATATAGTTTTTTGTTTAAATTGCCAGTAGGCATACATTGAGTTCCTCAACTATCATGCTGAACTGAATTAGTGATGACAGAACCGAAACTCTTACACTGAAAATGCGGCTTCCCTGCACTAATGCTTAGGTTTCTGCTCGACACCTTTTTGGTTATTTACATTTCTTCGACAGTTCTCATGTTCTTTTACGTTTTTTTTTTAATGATAAAAAAGGTTAAAGTTACGGCCTATATAAATCCTACAGTTGGCCAAAGCCTCGTCTCATTTTTGAGTATTATGGAGCAATTATTATAGCGCGCGGCTCAATTGTTAATTGGCGAACTTTACTATGCCCTGAACTATTTTATTTCTCAGGCATACACCACGCTTCACCGCCAAGCACGTGATAAATCAGCGCTTAAACTTGCAATTAACAATTTTAATGGTGCTGGCGGGAATCGAACGCTATATCGACCACGTACTGAGGCGAACGCTATGACAGACAGTTTTTGATTTTGATTTACCTACTCATAGTTTATGAGCTACCTCCAATTTATGTTTTAATATTTTTAGCTGAAAATTTTCATACATGCTCCTCGAATTTGCTTCAACTCACACCCAAATAAAAAAAACGGTCCTTGTAAGAGATCTGTCTGCCAGAAAGAGCCAACTGTTGAAGCTGAAGACCGAATGTGGCAGCATCGTTTCCGGGACAACTGAGATTTTGGGTGAGATTGAGGTTCTATGGGCAGCTGTAGTACACGTCATCGTTGGAGCCACACGCAAGTGTGAGTAACGATCCAAGAGCAAGTCTTATCCGACACCATTCCGATGATAACCCGGACGTCAGTCTGAAAGAGATTAGAATGCCTCTCCAGCACCTTAAAAACGGCAAGTCCCCGGGCGAGGATGGAATTACAGCGGAGCTTCTGAAAGCGGGTGGGAAACTGATACTTAAAGTCCATCAAAACCTCTTTAATTCCGCCTTCCATGGTGACACTACTCCGGAGCCGTGGAGCAGATGTGCGATAGTCTTGTTCTTCAAGAAATGCGACAATGCTCTCTTGAAGAACTGCAGACCAATTTCCCTTCTGAGCCGCGTCTACTTGCTGTTTTCGAGAGTTATTACGAATCGTCTCGCACGCAGACTCAACGACTTCCAGCCTCCTGAACAAGCCGGTTTTCGAAGGCTTAAATACCATAGATCACATATATACCCTTCGTCAAATTGTACAGAAGTCCGAGGAGTACAATTTGCCACTATGTCTTGCGTATGTAGACTATGACAAAGCCTTTGATTCCGTCGAAATTTGGACGGTGCTGCAGTCTCTTCAGCGGTGTCAAGTTCACTGTTGGTATATCGAAGTGCTGAAGTGTTTGTACATTAGGGCTACGATGACTATCCGAGTACAGAACCAAAGTACGAAACATATCCAACTGTAGAGATGTGTAAGACAGGGTGATGTTATATCCCCGAAACTCTTCACCGCTACATTGGACGACGTTTTCAAGCTACTGGACTGTAAAGGATACAGTATTAACATCAATGGCGACTACATCACCCACCTTCGGTTTGCCGACGATATAATCCTTATGGCAGAAACGCTGCAGGACCTAAGCACTATGCTCAATGACCTCAATAGTGCCTCCCAACGGATAGGTCTTAAGACGTCCATGTCACACCAATGCTGGTGGTTGTTGGGAGCACTAAGCTCGAAGTTTTTGACGAGTATGTTTACCTGGGACAAATAGTACGACTAGGTAAGTCCAACTTCGACCAAGAGGTCAATCGACGGATTCAACTCGGCTTCTTCGGATCTTCTCGTCAGGTACCTTAAAACTTGAAAACGAGACTGTACAACCAGTGCGTGTTACTTATGGAACTGACACGTGGCCTGTCACTGCTGGCCGTATGAGGAAGCTCAAGTTCGCTCAGCGAGCTATGAAGAGGGCTATGCTCGGGGTTTATCTGCGTGATAAGCTTAGAAATGAGGATATCCGCAGTAGAACCGGAGTAACCGACATAGCCCAACGGATTAGTAAGTTGAAGTGGCAATGGGCCCGCCATATAGCTCGAAGAACCTACAACCAAGGTTCTCGAGTGGCGGCCGATGAAGTGTAGGGCGTCCCCCCACTAGATGGAGTGACGACCTGGTAAGGCAGGCAGGAAGTCGATGGATGCAGGTGGCTCAGAACCGTGCTTAGTGGCATTCTTTGAGGGACGCCTATATTCAGCAGTGGACTTGTGCAGGGCTGTAATGATGATGATGATGAAGAGGCTCTTAGTAAGAACGGAGTTCGTACTCTATAGAGTACTACTAACAGTACTCTCCTTTCGTATTTATATCGTAGAACCCTCTCCGTTTGGGTTTTTCTTTTTTTATAGATGTGGGGGACAACGGGCTGCACAAACACGGGATTGCAGGTGTGTTACCACCCTTTTAAAAAGGAATAAGCTCGTTTATAATACTTAATGTTTTTAAAATTCAACAATTTTGTACACCAGAAATGGTTAATGTGTTGTACTATATTTTTTATAACTGTAAAACACACACATTATGCAAAATAATTAAATTAATAAGAACATGTTTGATCTTGCAATCTATATGGAAACCAAAACGTGGCCGCTTCAGTTGACACATCGGTGAGCGGCTGCACTTCCGCCGCAGGCTCGGGCGGTATTTTAGTGTGGCTGTGAATGCACTCACGCCCCGAAAATCAGCTTCTGAATCACTTTTCTGAATGCTTTTTATTACTTCAGATCTCTCTAGAACTCCTGACTTGGCTCCGTGACGCAGTGGTTTAGCAATGAGTTGCAGCGCTAAGGGCCGTGGTTTGTGAAATTTATATATGTAAACTGCCCCCACACTACAGGAGTAAAATCCTAGTGTAGAGGTAACTTTTATGATTAAAATAAAAAATAAAAACTAACTATAAAGGCTGTAGCCCGATGACTTGCAATTTATATATGCCTTGCATATATCATTTTACATAATGAGACATGGGAGACTGTGCTCTTACACTCATTCCTATTAGAACAAACAAGCTACCCTTTAATCTTAAACAATTACAGTTTCTATTAAAAGTAGTATTTTCAATGACAATTAACAAATCCCACGAAAGTACTTTCAAGGTTTGGAAAGTAGCGGGATCCAAAGAAGAAAAGAAGCGGGAAAGGATCCAAAATATGCATGCACAGTTTCGCAGAGTGAAATAATTTAAGAATTAAATAATTTTAATGTGGTCTGTATAAGTACATTAAAATCACGGGAAGTATAAAGCAGTAGCTTTAAAATAATGGCTAAAACGGTGTTTATGACAACAGATTAGATGTAGAATATAAAAAAAAAATATTCCCTTCCATATAGATCACAAATAATTCTTATTTCATTTAAATTCATTGAAATCTTTGAAATTGAATATAATGTGTTTATGACAACAGTTTAGATCATCATCATTACAGCCCTTCACAAGTCCACTGTTGACCATAGGCCTCCTCCAAGGAATGCCACAAAGCACAGTCCCGAGCCAGCTGCATCCATTGACTTCCTGCATCATGTCTTACCAAGTCGTCACTCCATTTAATGGGGCGACACCTTACACTTCGACTGCCGGTACGAGAATGCCATTCTCGTACCGGCAGTCGAAGAACTTTTTTTCCCCATTGGTTGTTGGTTCTTCGAGCTATATGGCCGGCCCATTGCCACTTAAGCTTACTAATCCATAGGGCTATGCCGGTTACTCTGGTTTACAGTTTAGATGCAAACATATAACTCTACCAGCTCTGATTCTACTGTTCTGATTCTACTGGTGTGTCTGAAGAACACATGATGATATGTATCCAAATGATTTTCTTAATACATAATCACATTATCAACACCCATATAAGATTACACTTCACTATCTGTCGCTGATAAGTTCTTAGCTGAACAAATGCGTAAGCCTCCCCCTGAAATTGCCACAAATTATGGTCCTGAGTCACCTGCTTCCATCGTCTACCTGCGTTTTTTATCAGGTCGTCACTCCATCTAGGGGAGGGAGAGTCACCAACACTTTCATTTTTTCAGTACAAGGCTGCCGCTCATAACATTTCAGATGCTTTTCAGAGTTCAGAGCTTCAGCTTACTGATCCGTCCGGCTATGTCAGTTAGTCTTGTTTTTCTACAGATATCCTTGTTAAGGATTTTATAAAGCAGAGAAATTCCAAGGAAAGTTAAACTAAAGGTTATTTAATAATGATTAATTTACAACAAAATGATGAATTAGTTTAATAAAAAAAATTGAAATTAGTAACCAAATGAGAAGTTGATAGTGAGTAACATAAACCACCTATTGTGTATCTTAGCTTAAATAGTTTTACTATATATCGAGTAAGAAAAGTATGTAGCATAATAAAAAAAAGTAAAATCAGATTGTGACTCAATCTGATTTTACTTATTTTTAATTATAGTAAACATAAATTTAAAAAATTACATCTCGATATAATTAAAAAAAATTATAATCAACCATTTCATGTGCCTGTAATATTATTTAAATTTGATAGATTATGCATGGTCAAATTCAAAACATTATACAGTATCAATTTCTTACCTTGCAATCTTTATGCCTGTAACACCATGTACAACCAAACAGTAGACCAATAGCAGTGAGCACCAGCGCCAGCGCTGGCAATGCGTACAAGCCCTGTGAACCCCATTGGAAGACTGCAGCTTCATTTGAACCTGGATAGAAATGTATTATGCTCAGTATCATCCGAGTAATCGATGACTACATGGCTCATTATCTTATTAGAAAAGAGAGAAGCTAATATGGTGCCCATCAGGTGGTGATATATTATTATAGGCATTACTTTACATTTACATGAAGCTTCAGTCAAATTATTAGCACAGATAGCCTTTGTGGACCCTTTATCAAAATGTCTTGAGCCCTTCTTCAGAAAATATCCCAGCTTAGACACAAGTATATAGAGGCCCCTTTAGCTAGGGACTACCTGACATTAGAACAGTAGATAGCTAAAGCAAAAAATAGCTAATTCCCTGAGTCAAATCATATCATATTAAAAAATAGGAAGGTCAGTGTTTGTTGTATGTTTTTTTCAAGGATACAAATAATAGGTACTGGGTAAATATATTATTTAATAGATAGCATGTCACATTAGGCATTGCATGGCATGGCATGGCATTACACTAAAGTACCAAAATGGAAGATAGAAAACTTAGAATATTGTGTTACTAAAAAACATAAAAAACAATTTTTATTAGACTTAAAACAAATAATCAGCTGGTATTCAGCATATTCGGATACTTTTATCTTATTCAGTCGAATACCTAAGTGCCTGTAATATCAAGACACTATTTGGCCAAATACCGAATACTTAAGTAAGATGCTTTGTTGTAGTCAGATAATAGTACATAGTACAAACACTCACGCCTGTCACCCAGAAGGGTAGGCAGAGACTACGGACTTCCATTTAGCGCGATCCTAATAATAATAATAATCGGTAAAATTAAAATATTTATTTTATAATTAATTTTTTTTTCTTGTAATCATTAAATTCGTCATAGGTACATAATCAAATATTAAAAAAATCAAAAATTAAAAAAGAACTATCAGATCAATATTGATGCAGTTGAATTATCGTAATTATGTAATATGGAAGATAATGGTGCAGTAAAACCTTTTTTTTTTTTCATTTTCAGGCGGTAGTTTACTCTTTTTCTTCTCGTAGACAATCCTAGCTTCAGAGAATAGACACTCTCAAGAACAAACACTACTCCTTCCTGGTCGAATATTCAGTATTCAATGTGTAGCCAAATATACTATTCGTTGTAAGTCTAATTTTTATTCTTTGAGAGTCGGTATGGGTGTAGAAATACTTATGCAGTGGGGGGGCTTTAATTCTTCAATAAACAATGTTTTAGCACCAACCTTTTAGTTCATGTTGAAATTATTTCATTCTTTTTAGTTTTTGATAATGATTTTAACTTTTAATTAAAATTTTTTTGTACATTATTTTTAGTTGTGTTTGTAAATTGGATAAGTTAGATATAAGTTAAGATAACTCATAAGCAGTACATCGAGATACAGAATTTTACAACTTCAATTTTAACAACTTTAATACCTTCAACATACTAAGTCTGCCTTTTGAACTTCGGTTATAAGAGTATAAATGTATTAATAGTATCTTAGTTAATTTTTTTTTCAAATTACAATGTCATAATAGTTCTAGATTATCACATATTTAGGGCTACAATACAAGGGCAGGGGTTTTTCCAACATCTTATTGAGGCTTACAACTTAACAAGGTCCATGTTATTTAGGTATTAGTGGAACAATGTTATTCAGCATGAATTTTGAGGATGTTTAATAAAAATACATTTTATTGAACATCCTCACAAAATTGTTTATATTAAAAGGCCATTGACATTTCTAAAGTAATACCTATTTAGACACAGACACATGAATTTAAAATATGTAAAGTTTTAGGTTGTCTTTTATAATTTTTGCCTAGTATATATCTCATAAAATGCACAATTATATAAAATAACTTAGAAATACCTGTTTTATGTTATATACAATATAACATAAAACAAGCGCTATTCTATTAATTTACGAATTTATAAATGAAATTAGGAGAAAAATGTGTAACAAGTAATTCAGTTTAATGGTTTGTTTTTATGATGTTATTTATACTACCTTATATGGGAAAATACCTATTCTCAAATATAATACTAAATTTGTAATACAAATTTTCGAATCTACCCTAATAACAGTTACCTACATCCAAAGGCAAAAATGACTTTTTATGCTTTTGCAATAACTTACTTACAAGTACACTCTTTTACTGGCAATTAAATCTTGTAGAGGTGGTATCCTTTTCATGAACACTACACTTTTTCGGTAAGAAATAATAAAAAACATGATAGGTATTTAAAACTACCAACCACTTACCGTGAGGGTAGACTTGCGGCGTTGGCCTCACAGGTAACCCTTGTACCAAATGCAGGCCCGTTAAGGCCGTAAACAAAATCACCCATAGCATACCCATAATTGTTACATTATTTGCACAGCCACATCATTTTTCTTTTCATTATTTATCATTTTAATACATCACCACAACACAAAAAATACACAGTTCATGACAGATTTACACTTAAGACAATACCACAACACTAGACAATATTGATACACAAATAGCATTTCAGAAGTCTGAGATTATTGTTACACATAAAAATTTTATTTTTATTAAGATTTTCGTGCACATTTACATGTAAATTGCGCAACCCACAGCTGTACAAAACGCCATTTTTCTAATCCGGTGTTGTCACTTTTAAATAATATTAACGCGAATATTTTATCATTGTGGCAACATTAATGTCACGTCAGTTTTAATAATTAACTTGTTTATATATTTTTCTTTCAAAAAACTACCATCATGATTACTGTTACAAGAAATTCTAAGGGATAAAATACAACGAATAAGTATATAGATTTTGTTTTCATTTCATTTTATAAATTAAAAATTAATCAAATGTATAATATTATGTAAACTTGCATGTTTCTTTTTTTATCTATTTAAAAAAAAGATTACAAAAATAGAAAATCTGTCAATGTCAAGTGTCAATCAGATTGTCAAAACAGCAAAACACCGAAAGACCAAAAGTGAAGAAAAACTGCACATATTGTAAACTCTCCTAAATCTAAAAATGTGTTGAGTTTTAATATTATACTAAATTAAAATTATGTATTTGTATCTAAGAACTCTTTCTTAAACAGAACGAATGCTCGTAAACCTTCACTTACATAGTAAATAACCTCAAAACACATGTACGGTAAAGCAGTGTTACTTAGTAAAGTAGTTAGAATTAGTATAAACAGCGTACGATACTACAAAAAAGATACAACACGGTTGTTGGAATTTTTAGCCAAAATGCCTAAAGCAAATTCTGCTAGGATTGCCGAAGCACAACGTCAACGCCAGCAAATTTCGAAAAAGGCTCAAAACTATGGACCAAGTACAGTCTATCTCCAGGTACTCGGTTCAGGGGCAAGAGGAGCTCCCAACACTTTATATCTTTTTACGGATCAAAAACGGTAACAATTTTTTCTATTTTGACATAAATAAATAATTATTATTTTAACTTACTATACTAGTAAGATTTACAAGAAAATAAGTTAAAGGTCGAATGTATGTCAATCATATAATTCATGGAAATCCACTGCTATGTTTAGCTGTGTGTTCATTGCTACGTTTTTCTAAAAGGGTATACATTGCCCCATAAATGAATTACTAATTCTGTGGTGTCTAGTAACCGGCATTACAAGCTTGTGCTCTAGTATCCGTATTTGTCCTAGTATTTAAACTTTTAAATAACTTTGTTCTTATCTAATGTGTTCATGTTTTTATATAATTATGTAACATTTGATGCTAAAGTTAGTATAGTTATTTCTTTAAACTTTTCTCTGAGGTTCTCTACAATATAAGTTATGAATTGCTCGTATGGCCCTTTTTTGCATATTAGCCCATTGAAGTTTAAGGTTTGACCTGTTGGCCTAACTTAATAAATCTGGTTTTCTTTTGGACATCCTTGTTGTGGATTCTGTAAGATTGGGTGTACATAGCCAGCTCATTGAAAAAGTTATGCCGAGCAAGAAAATGTGACATAATGGCACACATCAAGTGCAAAGCGGAGATCATCTATTTTCGAGATTTTAGCATATGCGGCTCTTACAGCTTCACATTGACACAGGCCTTTTAGGCCGCAAGCTATTTAAAACAAAAGGCAAAGGCAATGAAGATGATGATAGTTTATGATTTAGTATTGTTACCAATCATCATGTCATGTCGTCTTTGTTGAGATTTTATTTGAGCTATCTAATCGCTGTCCGAGTGGGGTTCGCAAAGCGGAGAAAATGTGACATAGCTTTTTAATCTTGTGTTATCACAAAAATGTGACATATTTTTTTATTCTTGTTTCATGTATTTCAAAGTTTTTTTTTTTTATTTTCACAAATGGTTGTAATTTTTTTTATCATAACTTAATACCATTGAATTTTCTGGTTAGCAATATTTATTCTCAAAAGAAATATACATTTCACTAAGTATTTCACATAGTGATAAGTTAACAATAATATCTAATAACAAGTTAGACTTAGGATTAATCTATGAGCATACAAAATGGAAAAATTATAATAAAGATAGGAAATAGTTTTGTGACATACAGCTTCTTATTGGTTTATACATAGAACTATTAGGATCTGTAAACAAAATACCAATATTTTAAAAATAATTTATGAAGGAGGTTAGTAAACAATATATTATATTTCTTATCTTTATTACTAGACCAAAACGATTAGGCGCATGACAGCTAAGACATCATTAGAACTAGGGATGGAACACAGGAACAGTGATTGATCACTAGGGCAAGCACAGGGATAGAGGCAGGATGCGGGCATTGAAATCGCATTCCTGTCATGAGTCTAATTGTTTTGGTCAAGTTGTACTGACTGACACCAATAGTGGTTGGCATACAGTGTATACTGAATAATATATGTGAATAATAGCATATATTAACTCTCTTACTCAGTTTTAAATATTAGTGAGTAAGTATATTAACTGAATGTGTGGCATTCCAATACTATGTAGTGGTGGTGTAAGACTATCCACTAGCCCATAATATTAACTCATATTATTAGTATTGGAAGAGGATAACAAACCAGGATCAGGAGGCCTAAGTTCAGCATCTGACATTCAATAGACTGTAGTGGTAACGGAGGCTTTCCATTACAACTGTAAATCTAAAATATTGGCAGGTCATTGGTATTATTATAGTTGTCATGTCACTTGAGTTATGTTTGTCTTTACCCTACATGGCAACTCTGAGATTGTTTTCATGTATTGTTTTTATTTGCTAGATTATAAGTAAATTTTTAATTTAACTCAAATCAAACCTATTGATGATAATAAATCCCATAATCCCATGTTCTGTGGATGTCGTAAGAATCGACAGAGGTAAACTGAAACAGGAGATGGGCAGCTTCTTCCTGGTAAGAACTCAAAATTATAAAAAACATGGCTGTCAAGTGAGGCAACTGTGACAAAATGCTTCCTATGAGGCAATCTATGGTGAAGCCTATGCTCACCAGTGGACTTTTATAGGCGTTTAATTGATGGATAGAAATAATGATAAGATAGCACTCAAGTATGGGTAGATTGAAATACATAGAACTACACTATTACTTGTACATAGGCTGCTGGTAACAGAAAAACAGTAAAGTAAGATACTGCTTACTTTACTGCTTTTTTGTTTCTCTCTCCCATTTGTCCTCCTTTGACGTATTGTTTTTTTTTTATAGGATAGGGTGATAAACGAGCACATAGTCCACTTGATGGTAAGTGTTTGCTGTGACCCATAGACATCTACATCTTAATAAAGAATCAAAATGCAGATGCGTTGTCACGTGAGGACTAAGATGGAATGCGTCTTATCCAGTAAAAAAGGGCTCCGGTTCTCTACACTCACTATACGAAACACAGCAGTGTTAAGCTGCTATTTTATGCTGGTATTCTGTGAGAGCGTGGTCCTTCCCCAGTTGAACCAACCCATTCGTGCTACAACTATAGTACCACTATAGCTGCAGCATTGCTCTACCTCATATAAAATTGCCAATGGTGGTTTTTTTTTTCTTATATAAAATTCAATTTTATATAAGTAGTTGCCAATGTCCTTCTTAAACATTGTACAAATTTCAACACTTCAATGGTTTTGATATTTTATTTAGATACCTCTTCAACTGTGGTGAATCGACACAGAGACTTGCTCATGAACACAAAGTTAAGCTGACAAGATTAGATCATATCTTCATTACCAACAAATCATGGAAGAACCTTGGTGGGCTGCCAGGCCTTTCCCTAACTCTTCAGGATGTTGGTGTGCCAAATATCACTTTACATGGACCAGAGGGCTTAGTAAGTTATATTATACAAATTAATAAAATATGTGTGGTTTTTGATTTTCTTATTTAAGTAGTTTTTCTTGACTATAAGAGAAGCCCAGGCAAACTGTTTTCTGCCCAATGGTGAGGAAATAAAATAATTGCTGTGCATTTTTGCACACTTGATAATAGCATACTGCATATGGGACAGCTCCATAGCACAGTGGCTAAGCATTTGGTTGCGCTGCAGAGCCGCAGGTTAGAAACCTGCATGAAACAAGTGTTTGTATGGCCTACAAATAATTGTTCCAGGTCTGGATGTGTGTCGTTGCGCAATATATGTATGTGAACTGCTTCCACGATACAGGAGAAAATCCTATGTACTAAAAAAATAAAAGAAAAAAGTACTATTGTCAGACCTTAGGTTTGAATCTAAACTGAGCTAAGATTCAGGTTAAATCACAAATTGTTGGTTTTGGGTTTGGTTGTTTTATTATTGGCTTTTAATAAAACTTGCGACAATCAAATCACAAAGCTAACGTTAAAACATTTTGTTAATAGTGATGAATCTTTTTAAAATTAATTCATTGTAATATAAATAGTAAAACATTTTCAAACATTTCTTCATGCAAAGAAAAAATGTGTTGCCTACCATGTCACACACCAGATAATCCCATATTATCGCTTTAGTAACTATGCAGTGGTGGCATTTAATTTATTTTTAACCATCTTGATAAAAGGAAGAGGTACTCAAGTCCTCTGTATATATATTAGGGCATAACTTCTATATTTATAAACCTATTTCAATGATTCTTTTTTTATTTTATTAAATAGTTTATACTTGAGACGTTGCCCCATATAAATATGAATAAAAATAGGCAGGGCTTTAAATCTTCGATAGACTATCTGTCTTAGCCCAACTTCAAGGTCAATATTCAGCATATATAATAGTCATATTCATCAATATTCAGCATCAAGGTCGTAGTAGACAGTGCATGCTCCGATTACAAGTTCGCTAACGCTGGTGTTCCACAAGGCTGCGTGCTATCACCAACGCTGTTTCTTCTTCATTTTTCAGTAACATTCATTGGTATGCGGACGACAGCACTGGTGATGCTTTATACACCGGCCGTGCCAATATTTCTCGGGAAAACGTCGCCGAGTACCAGAACAAACTTGTGTCTGAAGTCGAGACTTTGTTGAACAAAGTCTCAGACTGGGGTCGACTAAATCTAGTCCAGTTCAATCCCCAGAAGCCACAAGTCTGCGCCTTTACCGCTAAAAAGAACCCCTTTGTCGTATCTCCTCAGTTTCAAGGCACTCCCCTTGTTGCCTCAGCCAGTATCGGGATCCTTGGTGTCGACATATCGAGTGACGTGCAGTTTCGTGGTCACTTGGAAGAGAATGCCAAATTGGCCTCTAAAAAGCTTAGCGTGCTCAGCAGAGCGGGACAGTATTTCATGCCGGCACACCGCTTGCAACTTTACAAGGCGCAGGTTCGGCCTCACATGGAATACTGTTCCCATCTCTGGGCAGGGGCTCCGCAGTGCCAGCTCCTTCCACTTGACCGCATCCAGCGCAGAGCGGTTCGAATCGCCGACGACCGAGTTCTTTCCGATCGGCTTGACTCATTGGCACTGCGTAGAGATGTTGCATCTCTTTGCGTATTTTATCGTTTCTATCACGGGGAGTGCTCTGAGGAATTGTTCGGACTAATTCCAGCCGCCCAATTTCACCATCGCACATCGCGACAAAACTCGCGATACCATCCATACCATCTGCATGATTGGCGGTCCACCACTGTGCGATTTAGAAGAAGTTTTCTTCCTCGCACAACTTCCTTGTGGAATCTATTACCACCAGCGATTTTTCCGGACCGATGCGACTTAGGGACCTTCAAGAAAAGAGCCTACTCTTTTTTAAAAGGCCAGCAACGCATCTGCGATTCCCCTGGTGTTGCAGTTGTTCATGGGCAGCGGTAGTCACTTACCATCAGGTGAGCCGCATGCTCATTTGCCCCCACTAATATAAAAAAAAACTTCAGAAAGTTGCCATTTGGAAATTTATTATACTCTTTTTAGTTTTTGATGTCGGTTTTTACTTTTTATTTAAAGTTTAACTAAACTTTTAGGGCATAAAGCGGTAGAGTTAAAGGTAAATTTCCTATTTTTATTATAATAAATTCCCACAAAGTAATGATTCAAAAAGATGTAACAGTTATATTTAAGACCAGCACAATGGCAAAAAAAGTACATAATCTGTTGATGTACAATTATAACTCATTCTGGAATTATACATCCTTCGACTTTGTATGTTTATAAAAAACCTCGATAGCCTTGAGATCAAAAAATTACCACCCTTTTGTTGTAATAAGTATAATTTTTTTGCCAGTGTCTGCCCTTTAGAACCCTTACTGGCTCATGTTAACACATGAATGACCATAACATAATATAATTCATTACAAAAATATTTTTCAAGGATGAACTGTATAATGCTACCAGAAGATTTGTCATAATGAAAGATATGAATGTGACAATGGCCAAGTGCAGCCCTAGTGAAGATTTCGTCGATAATGTTATGACTGTGAAATACGTATTGCTGTGAGTATATTGAATTTATATATTACATTAACATTCTTCACGGTTTAAAGTATTACTGTCACACTAGTAGAAACCGGCGAGGCGATAGAAGGAAATGAACCTGGCAAAGGCCACTAGCGTCTTCCTAATAACTCTTCAAAGAACCTGTGATTACCAAGCGTGGCAACTATGGCAAATGTTTCCCTAAGAGACAATCAATAGGGGAGACCTATGTGCAGCAATGGACGTATGATGAGCTGTAATGGCAACATGTATCCGAAACACAAAGAACTACCATATGGTATGGATAGATTTTTGTTTTTATCTTTCTCCCACATAAAACTAAAAAAAAAAAAAAAGGTTATTCCTATCTTAGGATTAACCACATTGTTAGAATTTATAGAGGTTTTGCAATACAAAAATTCTATCTTTGTATATACTATTTTAAATATTCATATTATATAATAAAAATCCTAACTTTGTATATGTATATATCAACTACACTTCCAGAGCCATTTTAAGAAATAAGTTCAAGGGGAGTGACTTATTAACAAATCTGTTAATATTTGTGTAGTACATGGTATTTCTATAGTTTAGGAAATATACTGATATTGCGTCTGCGCGCGCGGCACGTTCAGTGCATTACATTCATAAGTATTTATACATTACATTTTATTCAGAAGTATTGTTAGTACAATAAACACTCCCTATGGAATCGAACACAGTTTTAATTACCACATCCCGTTACGTAGATACAACCTACATCGACATCCTCAATTATATGTAGAGGGTTACAACTCACAAACCTCCCCCTACAATTTGTTTATAAGCTAAAAATATATTTAAAATAATTTATTATAGATTTTAGTTTCACTTATTTATAGAAACTTAGGTTATTTAAAAATTGTAGAAGTCCAGATACAATTCTTCAACCAGACCTGGATCATGTTGCGAAGAAGCCAAAACTAAACACGTCTGAAGATAAATCTTTAGAGGAATTCATTCATGATGACACAGATTATTACCGACCCGAAGTAAGGCGCATGGAGGCCAACAAAAACAACAGTATAAAGACTAAACCAAAATTATCTCCAGAAAGAGGTAAGTAAAAATTTCTATTTTTTATTCATTTACTTTATGTACACTAGATACAGAAACAGTCTTATAGTGAGTTTGTGTATTTCATTATTTGCTGAAATATCTTCCAGTAGTCCCACAAAGAAAAGTATATTAAAAAGGTAAACTTACTGCATACAATACAACTGTAAATAATATACAAAATGTTAAGTAAATTATATTAAATGATACTATAAATAAAATAAAATAATACAATAAATAACAATAATGCATACAATAGCTACATATAATATAGAAACTAATAGTAATATATATTAATTAACAGGATCAAAGAAATTATCTCTAACACGTTTTTACATACCAATAATATATACTTTATAGCGTATTCTTAAAAACTCACTTCTTATTTAGACGAAAAACATTAAAAAAGGTATAAAAAATGCTGTAATTTTATGTTTCTGTACATTGTTTTGTACAGTACAATATAAGTGTTAATTTAGATTAATCCATCAATTAATTCATTTGTTATAAACTACTTTAGCCTTTTTGATAAAATTTACTATTTAGTGCTTTTTGGAAAAAAACTTATATTGTTTACTTTTCAGATACAGTAAAGAAAAAGACAGAAAAAGTGTTAAATGAATTGCAAGGGAAATCACACTGTACAGTGGCTTACATTTGCACTCTGAAGGTATTATATAAAACACTCAATGTCTACTTATAAAAACTATTTCAAATTATGTGGCATTTCTTGGAAGAGGCTTACCATAGGCCTTTCCCAAGAAATGCCACAAAGTGTGGCCCTAAGCCACCGGCATCCATTGACTTCATGCATCTCTTACCAGGCCAGTAGGGGGCCGCCCTATACTTTGCTTACCGGCATAAAGCTGCTAAATTAGACCCTTTTTTCCCCATCGTTTGTCGGTTATATAACTATATGGCTAGCCCATTACCACTTTCGCTTATTGATCCATTGAGCTATATCAATGTAGTATCATTGACAATAGAAAGTTGCTTCAAATGACCATCAAGAACTAGTGTTTAAGCATATGTATTATTCTATACTGACATTAGAATTGAGGACAAAGAAGAAAATCTTCTTTAACTTATTTGATCGTGTTGAAAGGATTCAACTGTGCGGAAAATATAATAGTTGTATGGCACACAGGCATTCATTCATCTTAACATGCCTGTGTGTGATGCAGTGGCGGATTATCCTTAAGGCAAACTTTACAAAGCGAAGCTTCCGAAGCGCGCCCCGTCTAATTGATTACTTCCTACATCGCCCTCACTTACATCACATTTTTCCTTCATGCTCATGATAAATTATATTATATTTCATTTGCAAAAACGTAGTTATTAGTAGGTAGGTTGTAATGTAGTTAGAGATGTGTATCTTTGCTCTAATGTCGTTTTAAATTAATTATATCCTGCTGGCCACGCACGTTACTTCCGAGCTCAAACCTCAACAAAAAATCTACCCAAATATTGTGACTGTATTGTGTCTCTAACACCTACCGATTTTAATCTAAAAAATCTAATATTGTATATGAGTAGGTGAAGGTGTGTGAGGGTGTGAGAGTGTGAGTGTACTACTACGCCACAAGTTTCGGTTTTTAATCTTTATTTTTCTTGAATTTCAAAAATTAAACTTGATTTCCAGAAAAGACTCGGCACTCTCGACTTGGAAAAGTGTGTAGAAAAGGGTGTGAAGCCAGGTCCCTTGCTAGGCCAATTGAAAAACGGGCAAGACATCGTACTACCTGATGGGACGCTTGTGAAATCGAAAGATGTGAAAACCCCGGATGACCCTGGACCCGTGTTTATTGGTTGGTACATATATTGCCGTGTAGTGGCGGTGTAAAAATATCCGCTAGCCCATATCATCCTGTAGGTGTCGTAAGAGGCGGCATAGGGAAATAAATCAGGAGATGGGCAGCGTCTGCCTAAAAACGACTAAAAATTAAAAACTGTGGTTGCCAACCCACTTGCCAAGCGTGGCAACTATGGCGAATATCCCACCTATGAGGCAATCTATGGGGGAGTCCTATTCCAGCAGTGTTCTTTATTAGGTTGTAACGGTAACAGTAGCATTTAGTACACACTTTGATGGCGGCATAAGAGAATGGTAAATGTATGCCATGCCATGTGATGTAGTGTTAGAAAATCCATCACCTACATAATCTCCAATTTGGGATTGGAAAATGCTGGAAATACCTCATGGTTTCCGATAGATGGCGGTAACCATCCTGTTTACGCAATAAGTGAAGCATAAAGGAGAGAAGATGTCCGATACTGTGATCATCAATTTCATTCCATTGCATTCCGGCCCAGTGTAACGATTATGACTACCTTTACTTATTTTTAAATACACTCATCACAAATATTCTCTGTAACCATTCCTGGTAAGCTTAAAACGCTAGTGTTAGGAGGGGTTCACGACAGTAGTTCACAGTCCACACCCTGCCAAGACTACTGTCGCTTCTCAAACTATCTACAACGATAGAGGCGCATGTCCAACTGTGGGTTTATGCAGGCTGATGAAGATTGAAGACATATATACTAGGTGATAGGACTGCTTTTGTACCTAGAAGTCTATCTGGGTAGGAATCACCCTCTTTCCTATTTTTGCTACAAAATAGCAGTGCTTGTATTTCTGTATTCCGCTTTAAAGGGTATCAATCCATCCATCCATCCATCACAGCTTATAAAAGATTCCTGTTGAACATACCCTCCCCCATAGATTTCTTGGGGCGATGTATACGCTTTTACAACAAAATCCCTGGAAATATACAAAATTTGACCTGCTCAAAGTTCAAAAACTTTATTAAAGTTTATTAAAATTTGTATAAAAAGGGTTATTATAATATTAAGGAATTTATGGATGGTAATAATTACTCCTGGGAATGAGGTGGTCGCTACCAAGCTATTTATAATCTGTTTTTTTTTTTTATAGGATATGGGTGACAAACGAGCACACAGTCCACCTGATGGTAAGTGGTTGCTGCGGCCCATAGACATTTACATATATCCTCTATTACAAATCAAAATGTAGATGCGTTGCCACCCGTGAGGACTAAGATGGAATGCCTCATTTCCAGCAAAAAGGGCCTCCGGCCACCCGCACTCACCAAGCGAAACGCAGAGGGAAACCTCTACTTGACGCTGGTTTTCTGTGAGGTCGTGGTACCACCCCGGTTCGAGCCGGCCCATCCGTGCGATAGCAAAAGCTGCCGCGTGGCTCTACCACTGTTAAAAACACTGTTGTGTGGTTAATTGTGTAACATATATGATTGTAAGCTGTTATTTTTAAAAAAGTCCCACTGGGTTTCTTGCTGGTTCTTCCCAGGACAGAGGTTTTTTTTTTTCGAACCAGTGGTAATTAAACAAAAGAGTGACTTTCAATAAGTTTCAATAAGTATTATTTATAATCTATATTGAATAAAAAAAGTTTCAAGATAACAGGCTGTGAGGCATTAAGAATCAGCTATTGAATATTTATGTCAAGAAATACTCAGTAGCAGCCCGGAGTCAAGAAGTTGGCGGTGTTTCACCGTCGTGCTTCGGAAAGCACGTAAAGTGGTTGGTTCTGCGCCTGACTCTCTCCAATCGTGTCGAATTGCTGTTTCATCGGACTATGAGAGTGAGGAAATAGAATAACCGGCTAAGTACGACGCGCGCATGAAGGGTTCCGTACCATCGTAAACAAGTTTCTACTAGGGGAGGCCCCTTTAATTTTTATTATATTTTTATTATTTGTTGTTATAGCGGCAACAGAAATACACATTCTGTGAAAATTTCAACTGTCTACCTATTACGGATCATGAGATACAGCCCGTTGACAGTCAGAGGGGGCCGCGGGTTCTTATCCCGCATGGAACAAGTATTTGTATGGCCTACAAATAATTGTTCCGGGTCTGGATGTTTGTCCTTGTGCAATTTGTATTTGTAAACTGCCTCCATGATACAGGAGAAAATCCTAGTGTGGGGGTAACGTTAAAAAAAACAAGATGGACGGATAGCGGTGGCTTAGTAATAGGGTCCCATTGGGTACCCTTTGAGTACGGAATCCTAATAGAGAATAGAACTGTGCTTGCGCAAACACTTGTGCAATATAATATTTGATTTGATTGAACATTGAGACACATACTCCATTATCATTAAAGATAACAATTAAATGTGGGTGGAGGAAGGAAACTGGGACTCTAAAAAGTCCTAAATGGAGTCTATATAATGACCGCTACTAATAAATAGTCCTATTATGTTTACTTCAAGAAACTTAATTTTTTAGAAAATAAATTTGGATGTGTGCATTTCAGTATTAGAGGTGCCGGATATATCCTATCTCAAAGAGGAGGAGTTTTCGCCGCACTTTGATAACGGAGTCAATCCCAAGGAAAATATACCGACACTCATCGTGCACTACACGCCACCGCACGTCTTCCACCATCCTACGTAAGTGCCGATTGCTATGTACATATAAACTGTAAGGAGTGTTAATTAAGGCTATGTTTGAGACAATTTAAAAAGGGCCGTAATGACGTCCACGTTAGCATTAATAATCCTCAACAATTTCGGCTTACACTATAGTTACTTACACTATACTTACTATGCAGTGGTCAAAATCATTATTATTCAAAAACGGAAGGTAGCTGGGTTAACTATAACATCGAGATGTCAAACACCACAACCCCCCTCCCCCTCCCCCGTGACCATGGGTGTTGTAAACCATCAGAAACGTCGGGAATTAAAGTTAAAATTAAACGCGATGAAATGCGTAAAATTAGTTTCATTTAATGTGTGTTGTTCACGTAATAGAATAGAATCATTTTTATTCAATATAGATTATAGTACATAATAGTTATTGAAAGTCATTTTTTACTTTTACCACTGGTTCGCAAATTTAAAACCTCTGTCCTGGGAAGAAACAGCAAGAAACCCAACGGTACTTTTTTTAAAAAGCACAATTTACAATATAATATTTTATACAATTATTATGAAAACATTTAGAAACAGCATGGTAGTGATCACCTCATAATAAGGTATATATAAGAAATCACTATAATCCTGACCTGTGCAGGCGGTCATTGTCACAGTCACTAGCCGCCTGCGGCAGACCTACTTTCAGAAATATATGTTAGTATAATGATGATGTTACTGAATATAACGGCAAAAATTTAAGAGGGTACCTCCCCCTAGACAGACCACTAGGCAGAATTGACAGATACATCATCATCATCATTACGACCTATCGAAGTCCTCTGCTGACCATAGGCCTCCCCATAGATTGCCCTATATTTGCCTTAGTTACTACGCTTACCTATCCTAAACACCTTTTTTTTATAGGAGAGAGGGCAAACGAGCATGCGGCTCACCTGATGGTAAGTGACTACCGCCGCCCATGAACAACCGCAACACCAGGGGAATTGCGGATGCGTTGCCGGCCTTTTAAAAAGGAGTAGGCTCTTTTCTTGAAGGTCCCTAAGTCGTATCGGTCCGGAAAAATCGCTGGTGGTAAACTATTCCACAAGGAAGTTGTGCGAGGAAGAAAACATCTTCTAAATCGCACAGTGGTGGACCGCCAATCATCCAGATGGTGTGGATGGTATCGGGAGTTCTGCCGCGATGTGCGTTCGTGAAATTTGGCAGCTGGGATTAATCCGAACAATTCCTCAGAGCACTCCCCATGGTAAATGCGAAAGAAAATGCTAAGAGATGCAACATCTCTTCGCAGTGCCAATGAGTCGAGCCGATCGGAAAGGACTCGGTCGTCGACGATTCGAGCCGCTCTGCGCTGGATGCGGTCAAGTGGAAGGAGCTGGCACTGGGGAGCCCCAGCCCAGAGATGGGAACAGTATTCCATGTGAGACCGAACCTACGGCTTGTAAAGTTGCAGGCGGTGTGCCGGCATGAAATACTGTCCCGCTCTACTGAGCACGCCAAGCTTTTTAGAGGCCAATTTGGCCTTCTCTTCCAAGTGACGAGGATTCCGATACTGGCTGAGGCAACAAGGGGAGTACCTTGAAACTGAGGAGATACGACAAAGGGGTTCTTTTTAGCAGTAAACGCGCAAACTTGTGTCTTCTGAGGATTAAACTGGACTAGATTTAGTCGCCCCCAATCCGAGACTTTGTCCAGCAAAGACTCGACTTCAGACACAAGTTTACCTACACTTAGTAATTCTATACTTTATTCCAGTTATCGGGCATTTCTCTCAATGTTCGGTCCAACCACCCGCCATCTTGTCCTTAATGGACAGAACTCATGCCTGGGCTCAGAAGCTGTACACCGCAGTCAACATAGACTTCACCTATTGGACCCCGATATATTTCCGTTATTGAGGGACGTAAGTGTGCCTGCCATGTGGAACGCTAACCCTCCAACAACTCAAGACGATGGCGAAAGATCGAAAGGATTGGAGGAGCTCAAGAATAGGGTGAGAACTTATTTGTCGATTTGACACTCCTGCTTTTCTAAATTTTGTTTACAAGTTGTATTTTTAAATAATAAAATGTAATTTTCCTTAAAACGCAACACCGACCAAATTTTGAGACCTTACTAAATATAGAAAAATTAAAATCCCACTAGGTATTTATATCACAAAGTTTCTCTGTCATAGACGTAGTAAAGGATATCTGGAAGTTTTGGCGGGAACTTGATCGGCGGCTGATTGCTGCTCCTGTGTTATTGTTTAAATAATAGTTTGAAGTGTATTTTGATATTTTTAAAGTGGTGCTATTTTGTGTATTAAATGTCTGTGCATGTGAACTATTACTAAAAATGGTGAAACTGGTGTTCCGATAGCGATGTGAATCTCAAGATAAGGTGTCAAGTTGCCGTCAAAATTTCGCAAGGGCTGCGCAATGTGACGCATCAATATATTGTGAAGCAGTGTACAATAAACGATAATTATCACTTGATACTGAGATAAATGAAGATATGGCTTAAAAGACAAGCTTCCAAGCCAAAAATCTTAATAAAAAAGGGGATATCTGCGTCACACTGCGAAAGAGCTCATGGCATTTTGTTTTAAGTGTATTTATAAATGTACTACTGTGACCTAAATGGTACTTGATTATTTAAAATTGTTTGAATAGTTTCCTCGATGTTTTTGATGATTATTCCTAATCATCATAAAGAAGGAATAAGGGATATGAAAATGCCTTTTGCTTTCTTTATAGAGTAAGAGCTCCAAAAAAGAGTTCCTATTGCACTCCCAATAAAATAAGTGTCTCTAGCTTCTTTCTTTCTTTTTAATTTTTAAAAAATTTTAAACACATATTTGATGTAAATTTTTATTTATTTCCTAGATCGCATTAGCGCAGTTTCAAAACATACTAAACATGGAAGAGACAAGCAAAGGTGACGGTGATTGCTTGGAAGGCACTGACGCTGGCAATCTTGAAATAATAACCGGAAAAACACTGACTATGTTTCATTTAAGACCTAAAAAGGAAATAGATAGGTATGATATATTATTTATGCTTTAATTTTTTTAATATGATTTGATCATATTATATTTATACTTTACTAGCGATCCGCCCCGGCTTCGCACGGGTTATTTCTGGATCTCGACAACAGCGCCACCTATCGGGTCTAATTGTGAATCTACGCCATCTAGGGACCCACTCAAACACGCACAAAAATTTCATTAGAATCGATCGGGCCAGTATCGAGTTTTAGCGAGACTAATGGACTGCAATTGATTTTTATATATAGAGACTAGCTGATACCCGCGACTTCGTCCACGTTGCTTGATATATTAACAAAGTTTTCGTATGTGCGAAGGAAGAAAACATAAAAAAGATAATAATTTCTTATATTTACGCGAACACTACACATTTAAATAAAACTAATTTTACGGATTTTATCGCGTATATTAACTTATTTCATATTCCCTACGTTTCAAGCACATAAAACATAAATATAATAAAAATAATTTAAATCGGTCGAAAAAAACTTCGTTATATTGCACATATTCACGAATCTTAACTCTTATATTGGCATTAATAACGATAATGATAGCTTTCTACCGACTTCAAAAAGGAGACTGTACTCAATTCGAATGTATGTTTTTTTTTGTGTGTTGTTACCTCATAACTTTTTCTCATCATCATCATCATCATTACAGCCCTTCACAAGTCCACTGCTGAACATAGGCCTCCCCCAAAGAATGCCACAAAGCACGGTCCTGAGCCACCTGCATCCATCGACCTCCCGCATGTCTTACCAGGTCGTCACTCCATCTCGTGGGGGGACGCCCTACACTTCGCCTACCGGTACGAGGCTGCCACTCGAGAACCTTTCTTCCCCATCGGTTGTCGGTTCTTCGAGCTATATGGCCGGCCCACTGCCACTTCAGCTTACTAATCCGTTGGGCTATGTCGGTTACTCTGGTTCTACTGCGGATATCCTCATTCCTAAGTTTATCACGCAGAGAAACTCCGAGCATAGCCCTCTCCATAGCTCGCTGAGCGACCTTGAGCTTCCTCATACGGCCAGCAGTGAAGGACCACGTCTCAGTTCCGTAAGTCACCACTGGCAACACGCACTGGTTGTACAATTTCGTTTTCAGGTTTTGAGGTATGTTTGACGAGAAGATGTGTCGTAGCTTCCCGAACCCTTAACTTTTTCTAGGTGAACCGATTTCAATGATTCTTTTTTTATTTGAAAGTTGGTGCTTCTCATGTGGTCCCACATAAATTGATCAAGGTCTGATCAATAGTTTTTGAGTTATTCTTCATAATTTATATTGAAGTTGGTTGTACAATTTTTTAATTATTACAACAAAAATTTTATATTTTTTATTTTCAGGTCAGCAGAACCGAAACTGCACATACAAGACTACATACAAGAGACGATGGATGTAGACGGCTTTGCAAGCAGCCTGGATAAACTCCGAGATCTGGTCAACAAAGTGCGCTTGACGAAAAACACCTCTCAGAACGGGTATCCAAAGGTCGTTTTCCTCGGTACTGGTTCCTGCATTCCAAGCAAGACAAGAAACACTAGCGCTATTGCATTACAAATTGAGTAAGTTACCACCATTAACATAAATGTGAAAAAGGGAACAATTTCGGTATTAACGACGATCAGGGTCGTCGCTTGTAGGTTTTACCAATAAAAGAGTTGGCATCTGAATGGATGCCAAGGTCTGTATATACAGCAGTTCCTTAAATCCTAGCTATAGGAATGTATAACATTGTTCAATAGATCTATATCTATACAAATAAATAAAATTGAAGTGTCTGTTTGTAATATCAAAATAACAGCTTTTTGCTAAATGCATATGAAAGTATGTATACGGTACTAATAACAACAAAACTATTTTTAAAATTTTTGTCTCTGTCTCGTTCTGTTTGTTCTGGCTAATCTCCGAAACGGCTAGACCGATTTTGAGGGGACTTTTACTGGCAGATAGCTGATGTTGTCAGGAGTAACTTTTATTTTAGAAAAAAAATAGGGTCCCGCGGAAAAAAAAATGTAAATCCCATAAAACCAATCGTAATAAATTCCACGAGGGTGAAATCGCTGGGGACAGCTAGTTTAAAATAAAGTTGTTAAGTTTTTTATACTTAATTTATAATTTGGCATTTTTTAATAGTCAATAAGTTACGTATAACTTAGTGACATTTTATACAAATCTAAAATTTAATAGGATTATTAATGATATTTAGGGTTCTAAAAATTCAAGAGGGTTTTATCAGGCATGCAAAATTAGAAGTGTGTAAGACTAATAGCTATTGACTTATAACAGGGTCGAAAGTAGCTCGAAATGGTTCGTAGTAATATAGCACCCAGCACCAGCAGGTACATACTGCTGGTGCGTCGCCCTTTTCTTTTCCGAACTTAGCTGACTCACTGTCGTGTAATGCATAGAATAGAAGATAGTGTTACGAGTTTGGGATATTTCCAGAAAGATCCTCCATGAAAATTTCTAGAAGACTCTAGTTCTGCCACTTGATACTAGAGGGCGCTAGTGGTATTAATTGTGACGCGCAACAATAACTTCTCTCTCAGGATGGTGGTGAGAAGTGATCCTAAGCAGAATGAGCTTATTGCAACTTTCTACGTGACAAAACAACTGAAGCATTCTTTTTTTATATCTGCTTACAACATAGTTAAAAACACATTTAGAAAAGTATTTTCACACTTTTATCCATCCATTACAGCCTACATAAGTCCAGTGCTTATCACAGGGCTTTCCCATGCTGTTGTTATCAGGAAGATGTTGTTTCAGTTTTCCTCTGTCGCTTCTTACGACAACCACGTAACAACATGAGGTAGTGGATATTCTTACACCGCAACTAACGGTCGACACTTTTATAAAAGTATTACTCAATTTAATACAAAAAGCGAAAAAAATTCACAATCCACGCTCTTACAAAATACCAGCGTAAAATAGCAGCTTAATGCTGCTATGTTTCGTATGGTGAGTGTAGAGAAACGGAGACCCTTTTTACTGGAAACGAGACGTTCTATCTCAGTCCTCAGGGTTGACAACGAGAGAAACCAATGAGATGTCTAGACCACAGCGTCCACTTACCATTAGGTGGACTGTGTGCTCGTTTATCACCCTTATTCTATAAAAAAAAAAACATTTCGAAAATAGTTTTATTTTATAAAAATTATATGTTCAAAGCACGCTGAATACGTCCGCATGCACTATTGTTGTCGATCGAATGTTCTCACCACTGTTATGCCGTAAACTACAATATGAACTACTCGTAACACCCATATACATTTAAAAAAAATCGGTTGTCTGTAAAGTCGGTTTATTGACGATAGTTGAACGTGACAACGCCGATTGTGCCTCTTTTTGTCGCTCGTTCCGCACTCTCGCTTGCACTTCAAGCCTTAAATGGAACGCCTCAGATCGAGGTAACGCCGCACGAGTCATATTTTTTCGTGCGTGCAGCCAGCTTCATCGAATTAAAAGACGTTGTCACGTCAAAAAAGATGTTAACAAATGAAGCAATGATAACATCAAAAGTCATTTATTTGTTACAGCGAATCACGGTCGATGTTGCTGGACTGCGGCGAAGGCACTTTCGGGCAGCTGGTGCGATTCTTTGGTCCAAAACGAGTGAACGCATTCCTCAGGACGCTCAAAGCGATATACGTATCGCATTTACATGCTGACCACCATATTGGTATGTTCAGTCTAAACTTTAATTATTTTTGCTCCTATTTATTAATTACTGGCTCTGATTTTGGAAATCGAAATGTTAATGTCAAAAAAAATGTTCATATTATGTTACTAGTGGTTTTTGTGTTTCACATATCTGTTTCTGTTTCATCAAAAATGGTTGTTTAATTTTTCCAGTGTCATTAATCTGGAATGAAATGAGTGTGTGAAATTTCAATTTTAAACCACTTGCCAAGGAAACTCTTAAGCATAAACATTAATACTCCCCCCCCCCCCCTTAATTTTAATAATTCATTTCAGGTCTAATAGGTTTATTGCAAGCGCGTCGCCAAGCCTTTGAAGAAGCACCTCAATCGAAAACACCTTACGAACCTGTGCACCTTCTGGCACCTGGACAAATTGTAACCTGGCTCTCCCTGTACGATCAGCAGTTCGAGAGGATACGAGGCGACTTCACTCTTATACCGAACCAAAGCCTGGTAAGTGTAATGTATTGAACTGTAGAATAAGTGTTGTTTGATTTATGATCTGAATGTTACCATTAACAGTTTATATTATCCTACTGTTGGGCACATAGGCAGATAGAGTTGTCGCACTTTTCTAGTGGATGTTAACGAATGGCTCATCTCCTCAAAATATTTTTAATTTCACATGCCAGTGTCCTTGCGATGTTTTCCTTCACCGTAAATCACGTGATTAAATGTTATATTATTATATAATAACTCACTGATATATAAATTGAATACTTCATATTATGCACATTCAGAAGCTCACCTTGTCGTGACATATTAACTAATAATAATGATGATTATTATGACTTCCGACATTAATTTGTAAATCTACTCTTACCTGTCTGCCATAAAAGGTTGGTAACATTATTCACGGATTTTGAAGTGCGATGTAAATGTGTGATATCTGTCTTCATCTTTATTATCATTTTATGGTGATAATACCTATCTTTGGAAGAGATCCCATTTACCCCGATCATGGGTTCTTGCATAAATAAACTAACAATAAATATAAGTTAACTAACCAAGTAACATATCTATTAGAAATAATATAACCATGTAATAATGCAAGGAATAAAATTAACGTTATTGACGGCTCTGTGGCGCAGTGGCTTAGCAATGAGTTGCTGCGCTGGGGGCCGCGGGTTCGAATCCCGCACGAAACAAGTATTTGTATGGCCTACAAATAATTGTTCCGGGTCTGTATGTTTGTCCTTGTGCAATTTATGTATTTAAACTGCCTCCACGATACAGGAGAAAATCATAGTGTGGGGGTAACGTTTTTTAAAAATATTTTTTTAAAACTATAATAAAAGGCTTTTATTTTCACTTGTAAATAATCAACGTGGCGCTTTCTCAAAATTCAACTAACGAACGTGTGTGTATTACAAACAGATTCTTAATTGTTTAATAATATTTTGTTTTATTTATTATTGCAGCTGGAGGCAAGACTAAATGGAATGGAAACAGACATGACGTCGGCTATATTGGCCAGTATAGGCGTGCAACGTATCACTACTTGCTTGGTGGCGCACTGTCCCAATGCTTTCGGAGTAGCCATTGACGTCGACGGGAAGCACAAGATCACTTACTCGGGAGACACAATACCGTGCGAAGAGCTGGTAAAAATTGGTAAGTTTTTTTATTATCTGCATTCGAGTGATTACACACTAAATGCTCTTTTTTTTATATTTCGGACTGGGTTTTGCTGGTCTTTCCCAGAAGGGAGTTATTTGGTAAATTAAGTGTAAGAATGACTTTCAATAAGTATTATTTATTGCCTATATTGAATATTGATAAAAAAGTTTCTAATTCTAATTGTATCTCCTGACGAAACCCGACTTTTAATCATTTTGCGTAAAAACACTTTATAAACTAAAATTCATGTACTGTTTTATCTATTAGTATAAAATACATAAAACAGTATTTTTTTTATTTTATACGTGGTAGAGGCTTGCTGAAGCTATATTAGTAGTATAGTTGTAGCACGAATGGGTCGGCTTGACCGGGGAAGGACCACGCTCTCACAGAATAACAGCGTAAAATAGCAGCTTAACACTGCTGTGTTTCGTATGGTCAGTGTAGAGAACCGGAGACCCTTTTTGCTGGAGGCATTCGATCTTAGTCCTCATGGGTGACAACGCATTTGCATTTTGATTCGCAAACGAGGATAGATGTAGATGTCTATGGGCCGCAGCAACCACTTACCATCAGGTGGACTGTGTGCTCGTTTGTCACCCTATCCTATAAAAAAAATTGAAGAGTATTATCTTCTTTTTCTTCTTCACCAGTCCATAAAGTCCACTGCTGGGCATGGAACTTTATTGTCATATTTGACAGGCTGATGACGATCGCAGTTCCAGATGTCATGCACCTTTGACACAGCTGCCCGTCACTGGTCTGAGTGTTTTCCGTCTGGCGTAAACGTTAAGGTTATAGCGCCATCTATCGGAAGCCATAAGATTTTCTAGCATTTCACAAAGTCGCCTCTAATGACACCCACTGGCCAAAATTGTATGATGGGTTCTGTTACATTGTATGTGTATTATGGTTGTTAAAATATTTTATCAATCAATGAAGTATCACTCACATGGTCTAGTAGTCAGAATAACCGGATACTTCGATGCTTGTTCTATTCTAATATATCTTCTATGTTGTTGTGATGGGGATACCATGTGCGCTATACCACAGCATCCCAACCCACCTCCGATCTTATCGCACAAGCACTAAGTTTAGAATGAATAAGTTGATTAGAATTAATTAGTGCTTATCTGTTAATGCGCTCATTTGCTATTGTATAATATATCCGGGAAGTTTAGCTAAGTCCTACAATCGTTAATGCTAATAATAAACTATAAAAACGAATAGCTATAATATCCTCGAGTCCATCCTCTATATGTATTTTTTTATAGGAGAGGGGGCAAACGAGCATGCGGCTCACCTGATGGTAAATGACTACCTCCGCCCATGAACAACTGCAACACCAGGAGAATTGCAGATGCGTTGCCGGCCTTTTAAAAAGGAGTAGGCTCTAGTATTTGCATACATATCCCTGAGGACTTCCTGAGGATTGATTAGGTTTCCGTTATTTATACTAAGTGAAAGCAGCGTCGTCATACTGTTTCACACTGAATAAAGTAACATAATTAAAAAAATAAAGAAAAAAGAACATTTAATTTAACAACACATGTTGAATGTTTTTAATATAACTGAATTTATTAAATATTAAAGCGTATTGTTTATAAAAAAAATAATGAAATGTTGGTAACTAATGAATATGATAAAAATAACCACGGACAGCTCAACGACACGATTAAGGCTGTTGCTTACACTATACTGTTATTTATTTTTCAATACAGTTGCTCAAAAAGTGGCGTATTGCAGGGACGTATAGCGTTCGGGATGTGGGCTATTACATACTCGTGCTTTTTCTTTACCTTTTCCGAACTCGTGCGTTCTCTTTCTCAACTGTCAAAATAATGTCTATTAAAAAGAAAAAAGCAACCACGAAGTTTTTACTAGTTTAGTAGTTTTTATATTTCATGCAAATATTTCTAAAAAGAAGCTACTAATTTGTTTCAATATCAGATTTAATGATTTGATTCAATGAGTTAGGTTAGATTTCATTTCATATCAAAAAAAAATTCTACTGAAGATTTGGCTGTATGGGCATAGTTCCCTTTGCCTACCCAGAATGGTTGAAGTAAAAAAAATCCTTTTACGGTTGGCACCATTTTGCAAAAATGTTCTTTATTATATTGCTTCATTTTTTCGCAACTGTATCAAAAAAAGTTGTTCAGTACACGTGCGGAATCGTCATTGCAACTTGTTCCGTCTGTCAACCCTCACCTTCGGCTGCGCCTCGGCTCGGGTAGACATTTGTCGGAACTCTTTGCAATGACAGGCTTTCCGCACTCGTAATGAAATATACTATACTATTATAGCCGAAGATGGTAAAATGCACTGACTTAGCTTTGTAAAAGATTTTGCCTTGATGAACCCACATTTTATTCAAACAAAAAGATGACGAAGACGAAACAAATGAAAGAAACATTCAAATTACTCATAGTCAGCCTCTTTTGTACTCTTTCTTCCATTGATGTAACCAATGACATAAAATAAAAATCTAAAACGTAAAATTATTTTAATTACCTTTTGGTTTCTAACCAGGCCAAAACTCGACGCTCCTCATTCACGAAGCGACGATGGAAGACGAGCTAGAGGATGAAGCACGTACGAAGATGCACTCGACCACGTCGCAAGCTATCGACATCGGGCGGCGAATGAACGCGCGCTACACGGTGCTCACACACTTCAGTCAGCGGTACGCGCGCCTGCCGAGACTCAGCGCGTCCGTACTACAGGACAACACCAGTGTGGGCGTGGCCTTCGATAACATGCAGGTGCGTCATGTACACGTACCCTAATTTTTGTTCTTATAGTTATAAATTATATAAAATAAATGGCAAAAGTAACTAGTGATACGGCTTTGTCGTATTTTACATTTTTCCAGTTCTTCGTAAATTTATTTTTATTGTGTTTCTGTTAGTATTCTATTCGATAGTCCTTTTTTTTAATATACTTTCGTTTAATGGTTATAGTTATAATGTAATGTCAAATTTGTTATGACTTATAGTAGTAGTATTAATTAAGTTATCATTGTATGGCTATGCCTGATGATTTCTCGTTGGCTTGTTAGTAAGGCCGACAGAATAACAGCGCTGCTGTAATGCTGCTGCAGCATAAGTCGCTGGCCTTTTCGTTTCTCAATCTGATAAAATATTTATTTTATAATAATTTCTCGTATATTTAATCTACGTTGAACGTGTATTGTTTTATAGTGATTAATAAGGTTTCTTTCTTTTTTTATTTCATCATAGAGGTGATATTGGCCATAGCTGCTAACGCAGTTTTACTATTTTGAGTTATTATCAGGAAAATGGTGCTGCTTATCATCGTTGAGTTTCCCTCTTTGATATTTTGCAACACCCACGGGATGGTATGGGATAACGGAGTTCCTTACGACGTAACTACACGGTGAATTTCGGCGTTTGATGAATGAAAATACTCAAGTAAGCAACTCTTTCAAAATTCATTGAAGATATAGGTCTTAGCAGTGAACTACATATATAGCAGCGGTCACAATAGATCATACTGGTCGCAATGATACTGATCTCATTAGACCTGTATCATCATCACCACCATCACCATCACCAAACCATCGTTAGTACAGCCCTTCAAAAATCCATTGAACAAGGAACAAGGAATGCTACAAAGCATGGCCCTGAGCCTCCTGCACCTATTGACTTCCTGTATGTCTGACCAGGTCGTCACTCCATCTAGTGGAGGGCTGCCATACGCTTCGCATATCGCTACAAAGTTGGCGCTCGAGAACTTTTATTCTGGTTGTCGGTTCTTCGAGCTATATATCTGGCCCATCCACTTCAGCTTACTAATCAGTTGGGTTATGTCGGTTACTCGTGTATTGCGGACATCTTCATTTCTAAGTCTCTTACGTGGAAACCCCGAGTCAAAACAATGATCTCATACATATAATAATGTAATGGTGGTTTAAGTGAAGTATGAATAATTACGTCCTCGGTCCACAGATAACTATGCATGACTTGGAGCTCCTCCCACACATGTACGAGCCGCTGCAGTTGATGTTCGCAGAGCATTGCGTGGAACTGGAGCTGAAGGCAGCACATAGAGCCCGCAAGCGAGAGCGTCTAGCAAACCCCAGCCCGCCACCTGCCGGTAAACTGAGGAACTACTCAACACTCGCACACGCGAACACCTCCACAAACGTGCCTGACAACGAACATGCGGAGAGTCACAACACGAATCAGTTGGACACCAAAATACACAATGTGACACTTCAGAGCAACGATCATTGTAAAATTGATGTAGATGCAACTAATGATAGTAGTTAGCTGTATTGATGTAAAAGTTCCTTTCTCATTTGTAACTTTAATTTTATTATATTATATATGTATTAGAAATATAATCGTAGATAGATATATAATTCCTTAATTACAGCTTATCAAAGTCCACTGCTGAACAAAGGTTTCCTCATAGATTGCCACTCTTGGCAACCACAGTTTTTTTATTTTTTTATTTCCTAGTTGTTATTGATGTTGTTACCTCCTGATTTGTTTCTCTCTCTCTTACGACACCCAAGGGGCGATATTGAGTAGAGGATATTCTTACACCGCCACTACACGGTAAATATATAATTAATAAATTTATACGTTGTTTTTCTGGGTTTACTCTCTCCTTTTTTATGCATGATCAGCTCGCCCAGTGTTGGACACAAAACTCTCAAGTAATAGATTGATCCCACTACCACATGACGTATACTGATATAAATTCCAACTTTATCATACATGTACACTGTATGTTTGTAGTTGTATGTTTTTACGTATATTGTTAATGTTTTATCATTAGTCTCATTCATTGATTTCGTTACAGAATTGTTGTCTTTATTAGTATTTGTTTGCCGGAGTCCTGTATACTATTTATAAGATTAGTGTAACATAGACTATGTAGTTCGACTACACTTGTCTATATTATTTTTATAAAATAAATAAAAAGTCTGCTATTGTTGCTTGTATTTCATTTAACTTGTCCCTTAGCATAAAATATGAATAATCACTGTACACTAGGAGGCCTATAATATTAAGATGTTCATAACTCATATTATTTTGTTGCTAATTTAGATTTGTAGTTCTTTTTCTGCATCATTGGCTAAGTTGAACTTCTTTAGCAGCGTTTAAATAAAACTAATTTTACGGATTTTATCGCGTATATTAACTAGCGTAAATATAAGAAATCATTCTTTAGCAGTGGTCTTTCTTGGGCCGACGAAAGTCCACTACTGGTCATGAGTCTCTTCCGTTGGATGTAGGATTTGCCTTAATCGTCATGCTTGACAGATGGATTGACCAACACAATGCTAGACTCCTCTCACTTTTGTAGGCTTGGGTAAAAAATATTGAAATATCGATATATTGTCTTAAAAATACAGATGCAATATCTATCGTCGATATTTATTTTAGAATATCTAATTCGTACCAATTTCGATATATTTTAAAATGTTTTATTAATCGTAAGCAACAAAAGCATTCATGTGCTGTTGTCATTTAATTTTTCGTCGTCTGTCAGTAACAAAATTTTGGGCCTTATCCTAGAACGTGCACAATCATGACGAGATATCGATATTTATCACGTGATATATTTCGATACTATTTAAAAATATCGATACAATATAATCGATATTTTTTTTCACTTGCCCAACCTACACTTTTGATGCTACTGCTCATCGCCAGTCTGTTTATTTTATATCCGATGTAAGCGAGGTGGTTAAACAGCCATCTGTCGATGTGGATCTAAAACATTTTTCTGTAACGCTATCTATTGCAAGCTATAAGAATTTTCTGGCATTTCTCATAGCCTATTATGTCACCCTCTGGTCGAAATGCCTCGCATAGATAATATAGGGTTTTCTTACGATGATACCTACCACTCTCTGACCTATTTCTGCCAAGCATCAGCGTGAGTGCGTCCATTGCTGTATCCCAATTTAAACCTTAAGAGAGCCTGTATATTAACAGGCTGTAAAGCATTACATTTTAGTTCTCAAGGTGACCATGCATCTGCGTCTTTAATGCGCACCTTTTATGCTGCTCTCCATTACCAACCTGAGCACATTGCTTATGGCACATCGTGATGATAACACCGTCATCTGTTGGAGGCCTTGAAAATTTTTCTGGTGTTTCCAAACAATATAATATGAAAAACTGTGCCAGTTTCAGAGACCATTGAAAATGTAGCAGAAAAAACGTCGCCACCTTTCAGTTCTACGAATAATATTCTAATGGTGGCCACGACTCGACCCGGCCGTGCAGTTTATAGAAATGATAATCCGTCCAGTAAGTTAAAAGTTTGAGTTACTGTAAGGTATAGAATAGGGGCATGAACCGTGAGTACAACATTGACTCGCGCACTAGTCGTTGTATTTATAGGCTTTTGGTGAAGGATAAGGCGTGGGGTGGTACGGTGAACATTCTTTCACATGATTGGCCCGTTAGTTAATTGGCGACATCTATTTGATATTCATTTGTCATTCGCTTGCATTATATTTGCTTGTAGATTTGTTCACACTTTCTGACTAGTATAATGGGTAAGTATTATCTTCCCATTTAAAAAGAACCCCTTTGTCGTATCTCCCTAATTTTAGGGCACACCCCTTGCTGGCTCAACCAGAATCTGAATTCTCGGCGTCGTCATATCAAATGACGTACAGTTTCGTGAAAGGGAAGGCTAAATTGGCCTCTAAAAAGCATAGCAGAACGGGACAGTATTTCATGACGGCTCACCGCTTGCAACTTTACAAGGTGCAGGTTCGGCCTCACATGGAATACTGTTCTCATCTATAGGCCGGGGCATCCCAGTGCCAGCTCCTAACACTTGACCGCATTGAGCAAAGAGCGGCTCGAATCGTTAACCACCGAGTTCTTCCTTATCGATTGGCGCAGCGAAAAAAATGTTGCATCCCATTGCATTTTATATCGCATTTACCATGGGGAGTGAGAGGAATTGTTCGGACAAATTCCACCAACACACATCGCGACAAAATTTCACTGTGCGGTTTACTAGGAGATTTCTTCCTCGCACGACTTCTTTGTGGAATTGTTTACCATCGGCGATTTTTCCGGACCGATGCGACTTAGGGACCTTCAAGAAACGAGCTACTCCTTTTTAAAACGCCGGCCACGCACCTGCAATTCTCTTGGTGTTGCAGTTGTTCGTGAACGGTGATACTTTTCATCGGGTGAGCCGTATGCTCGTTTGCCCCATCTTCTATAAAAAAAAAATTACGATAATGGCATTTTAAGTCATATTATGTGATCTAAAATACTATTATGAATACTGTAATAATACAGGAGAAAAGCCTACTGTAGCGGTCACGTTTAATTTATGAAAACAACCTGACGACGATACTAAAGTGACGTTGAAAGTTTTCAAAACATGCCAAATAAACAAAGTCAATAAGTATTTTAAATTTGGAATGTTTTAAGATTTAATTGTCAATTGTTTTACCAATTGACGGGAATTTGAAAAACCTTCAAATGGTCCTGATTTGGCGTCCTGCGATTTCTATTTATTCCCAAAATTCAAAGATAAACTTATTTTTATAGGATAAGCGTAACAAACGAGCACACAGTCCACCTGATGGTAAGTGGTTTGCTGTGGCCCATAGACATCTCATCTCTATCCTCGATTACAAATTAGAATGCAGATGGGTTGTCACTCGTGGGCACTAAAATGGTATGCCTAGTTTTCAGTAAAAAGGATCTCCTGTTCACTACACTCACCATACGAAACACAGCAGCTTTAAGCTGCTATTTCATGCTGGTATTCTATGAGATGATGAGATGTTGTGTTGTATGAGCGTGGCCCTTCCCCGGTCAAGCTATTAAGCCATTCGTGCTACAACTATACCAGTGGCTCTACAACGTAAACACTTCGAGCAAGCCTGATGATGCCAGAGTCTGCATTCAAAATCGTTGTGGAAAAGACTCCTAAAGAAGAGACCTGTATAGTGGTAGTATCTTTTTGAATGGTGACTCTTTCGAAACTTTGAATTTTGAAAATGCCGCTGCCCATCTCCTGTTTCAACTCACTTCTGGCGCCTAGTGTAGTAGATATTCTTACGCCGCCACTACACAGTCGGAAATCTACAGTTACGTATAATAGAACAAATAAAAACAAAAGTTATAGTTAAGCCAGCCGATAACTTTAGTATTTTAACCGTTTTCAAAAAAAGGAATAGGTTTTTAATACGACTGTTTTTTTATGTGTGTGTTAAATACCTCAGAACTTTTTTCTAATTGAAGCGATTTTGATGATACTCGTATTTGAAAGCTAGTGCTTCTTATGTGGTCCCATATAAATTTGATCAAGATCTGACCAGTAGTTTTTGAGTTAATTAATAGAATCAGGCGTTACTTTGCGGAAGTCCATTATATTAAATTTGACAAAAAAATAACTTTGCGTACATCCGCTAATGCCGTTGCGGATGTACGCAAAGTTGTTTTTTGTCAAATTTAGTTTTTGAGTTATCCTTAATAATGCGTATTTAATTGACTTCGACTACGTTGATGATGTTCTCATTTTATTTACATGGAAGTCGGTTGTACAAAATTTTTAATTTTACAACTTGTAAATAGTAAACTGTTTTAGAGAAAACTGCTTTGTTCCGTCGTCACATCAAAAGTGTTCTATACTTTTCCATTATATTAATATTATATAATCTATTAAATATTTAATGGAGAAGGAACTGATTAATTTATTCGTTCAGATACTACATAATATGATTTATTTATTATTTATTTTAATATTTTAACAGGATTTCAAAGAAGCGGTAGTGCTGCCCAATCAACAATAAGGCATAAATCCGTAGCGAGAACACTTTATGCATGTCAGTAATATTCAATTTTATAGCTTCATTTACGAGGGGCACACTGAAATGATCGGGACTAAGAAAAACCACATGCACGGTATAGCTAAATTGTATTTTATTGTTTTTCGAAGTATTCTCCGTTCAACTTAACGCACCGTGCAAACCAATCATTAAAACAGTAATTCCAGTCTGAAGTTGATGTTGACAAAATGGCTGACATTTTCCTGCTTCAAAAAATGCTCGTATTATCGTGATGTAAGATGATGCGACGTTTCGGGTTATTTTTTCGGAGTTCGGCTATCATTTCTGGCAAACAAACCGTGATATACCACTCAGCGGTAACCGTTCTGCGTTCCTGTAAAAGAATTGTAGCAACATGCTCCTTTTTCGAGACAAACTTAGGGACTATTTTCTTTGACACGCTGCGGGAGCGAACCACTTTCGTTGGTTGACCTCGTCTTCGAAGAC